TTTCATTGTATCCCCTTTAATATAGTCTCATTTGAATTGTACAATACAACCTCTATTGTCTTTATATAAAATTGTTGGACTATCTTTTGTTAAAATTATTTCCCATGATGTTTGGATACAATTGTTCATATTCCTCAACCATGCACATTCTTAGGGTCTCCGGATGCAAAGTTTTTCGGTTGCACCATATAAATTATCTCTTTAATGTCGTCATTGAAAAACGACATCTTTACATCCATCTGATATAGCTATTCTTTAATTTGCAAACCATCTTCTTTGAGTCTCCGAACACAAAGTTTTCTTGTTACACTATATAAATCATCTATTCAATATCACCATTGAGAAATACTGTCTTTACATTCATCTGATGTAGTTCAAGATCAAAATATGCCACAAGTGCCATAATAGTCCTAAAATAATCTTTTGTTGAAACTAGATAAAAAGCGTATTTGTAATTAATGCCTTCCCCTTGAGTAAAGACCTTTGTAACAAGATGAGCATTATATTTCTCTATATCACCCTTCTAATCATTCTTGGTTTTAAATATCCATTTGCAATTAATGGGCTTCACAACTTCAGACAATGGGATGGGTTCCCAAACGTCATTGTCACTCATGGACTTTATCTATTCATTCATGATATAAATTTACTTTTGAGAATTATCCTTTTGTATGACTTGATGAAAGTTGATTGGATCTTCTTCCACCAATCTGGTGTCATCCTCTTGTTCTTAGAAAATACTATAAAGTTATCTGTAATTGCTTTTCTTATTTCTCTAGTGGATCTTCTTAATGTCATATGTTCTTGCGGTATTTGTTCTTCTAGAACAATTTCTTGATTGTTGTGGAAAATTGTCTTTATTTAGAATTGTTTCTTGAACAAGATCTAGAGCAAGAATTTGTCCATTTTCCTAATTATTGTCAATTGCAACAATAGTGATAGTTACATATTCCCCTTCAAAGACAAAATCTCTGACCTTATCTCTCCTATAAACTCCACATTCTCAAAGAATCGGGCATTTTTTTTGTTTCGAAATTTGACCCGTTAGTGGGAACATAGAATTTATAACCCCTAAACCTCTCAGAGTATCCAATAAAAAATTTTAAAAATATATTATTGTCTTACTTTAATTAATGGTGGCAATAAAATGATTAAAAACTTTAAAAATTAAAAAATTAAAAAGGGTAGTAAACGGGGCAATAGCCCCGCCCTGTCCTGCCTTGCCTTAAATGGGTAACGGGGCGGGAAATTGTGGGTTCGGTGGGGTGGGGAATGGGGTGGGTTTTCCCCACCCGCCCCGTTGTCATCCCAACAAGAGATCTCAAATGAAAGAGTGCAAGCTTATGAATACCCTAATTTCCTCCAAATACAAACATTTTGATGATGCTACTTTATTCCATGATCCTACACATTATCTCGTGGTCTGCGAAAAAAGCATTTGTTTCTTGTTCAAGTTCGGAATTGGAATACAAATCCATGGCCAATGCTTCACCTAAATTAATATGGCTATCATATCTCTTGCATGATATTGGGATCCCCTAAAATCGTCCACCACTGCTACTAAGTGATAATCAAAGGGCTCTTCATATGGCAACTAATCTTGTGTTTCATGTATGTAGCAAACACATTGAAATTGACTACCGTGTGAGAAAAAGTTCAACAAGACCAACTCCGTGCTAAGCTTGTACCATCCAAGCTACAAACGAAAGACATCTTTACAAAGCTGTTGGATAGGCCAACATATGATTTTAATCGGTACAAATTAAGCTGTAGCTTAATTTGAGGGAGGATATTAGGAATACTAAAAATATGCAATCTCCTCTATGAAAGGAAAGTCCTGCAGAGAATGGAGTTATTGACATGATTGCACAAATCAAGGGAAATACATGATGCAAGGAAAGTGCAACATAGAATGGAAAGACTGCACAAATCAAGGAAATCACAAGACAAACAGGAGAGGAATGTGAAGCTGACTCAATCACTGTGGATTATGTGGCATCAACGCCAGTTGCCTTTCTTCGGCGTTATTCTAAGAAGAAATCCCATTCTTGCTATTACACGGTTCTCAAAGCATAGGAGGAAGGGTGGGCAGCAGGTACCACGAGCCCTCTGTCTCGCACATTCCTTATGAACCTTGAAATTCTGTGGCTACCGCAATCGCGGGAGTTAAAAGGATTTGATTGAGTNCCAGCTGAGAATGAAATCATTAGCAAGACTGCACAAATCGAGGAAATCACTAGACAAACTCCAATCGTTTGATGCGAGTAAAATGATTTATTTCCTTCTATATACATGTAAATGCTCTATTTATAATAATAATTAAAAAAACAATTGTCTCTTCCTGATTAAGGAGAATTACACACAAAGATCATAAATCTGTAATATCTTTCATTAGATATTCGGCAGTTTCCTTTGATATTCTATATATAATTACCTGACTTGGAAAGAATCAGATTGATTATTTTTTAAAAATGACATCTTATCGACATTGCAAACCGATTGGCCTTTGCTTGAGGATATTTGAATAGTGATAACGTTAAGTATACAATCATGTGTAGAACATTGATCTAAGCTTTTCATGGTGTCACTTTCTTGAATTTCGTCTCTTTGCATATATTCTCAACTTCACATTCTCCTCAAAACACATTCTCAAATTTAATTTTTGAATTTAGTTCAAGTAATCTAACTCTCCACAAAGAAAATTATTTTTTTTATGGGATTTTATTTTAGGGGTTTAAATGTTAGTTAGTAATTTTTTTAAGGTTGAATTAGTAATTACCGTCATTGCCTTTACACTCATCTTTTATGGTCGATAATTAGATATACTCAGGCAATATTATTCTCTTACAGGCCATTCCTGTCGGCAAATCGAAGAAATTGAAGTTGTGAATTAGACTTCAGATGTATGTGCATGTGAACCAACATAGGAGATGTTCCTCCAAATATTGTTGAAAATGAAGCACTACAAATAGGTTTGGAATCAATAAATGACGTGATTAATGAAGATATTTATGATACTTTGGAAGAGGAAGATGATACATTGAATAAATATTACACTTAAGATGAGAAACTTTAAATAGGAAGACAGTGATGATAGTGACATCGGTGTGTGTGTGTATATTTATTTCTTTTATTTCATATAGTGACATTGGTAAGTAAAATAAATGATATTGCATTTTTTTTAATGATTATTTAAATTTTTCCCTTTTCTATGTAGATTTCGGTACAAAAGATGCATCTAGTGAGAGTTGTTAAGAGATTCAGGTTTACTATGACACTTTCTTCACAACCTTTGACATTACAATTTTAAGACAATAATATGACTTTTTTTATATTATTTTGTAGTCATTTTATGACACTCTCTTCACAACCTTTGACATTACAATTTTAAGACGATAATATGACTTTTTTTATATTATTTTGTAGTCATTTTTATTTGATTAATTGTACATTGAAACACTCTTTTCATTTAGTCATGAGTTATTTTTAATAAAAAAAAGTTGTATTTTTAAATAAATATTGCACAAAAAATGATACGACAAACTCGGTGTTGCAAAATAAATTCTATCACATAAATGAAGATCCATTGTCACAAAATAATTTGCCTTACAATCTTATGTGTAAAATAAAATATGTGAGATATATAAATAATCACAAAATAAATTAGATGAAAACTATACATCGTTGCAAAGATGATGATGCTACAAACTCTTTGTATCGCAAAATAAAATTAACTACAAACTGAACTTATTATATAATAAATTACACTAAAAATATTGAATATCTTAAAATATATTATGCAACAAATAGAACTCATTATATAATACTAACATGAATTGTTATGAAATATATATTTTTGTTGCAAAATGGAATAGGCAACAAATGTTATACCTTTAGAATAGTATTCGCAACAAATATTTTTTTCGTAAAAACTTTTTTGGAATAATTTCTGTGATAAATTAAATCGTCTCCCTTTTAATTTTTAGTGCTATATAAGCATTGCGACAGTATTGTGACGACAAATATCTTAGTACTTCATACTATTTTCGTCAAATAAATAATGTTGCGAGTCTCTTATACAATGAATTGCTGAAAGTTGTTGTAGAATACATTATGTAACTCATATAGCTCAACAATGTCCAAAATAAACATCTTGTTATTACTAAATTATTTTTACAAAAAAATCTATATTTATGCAATAACATTTTTATGTCGCCTTGTAGTATAATAAACTCGCTCACATGTGCCTTTCTCCTAAAAGGGAAGAAAAGAAAAGGAAAAAAAAAAAAAAAAATCTTTGCCTTTACAAGAATTCGTTATGCTGAAACTCCAGATAATAATTTTCTTAAATACCTCAACTCCTACTGTTTTGAGTATAAAGTAAGAATAGGCTATCAATCCTATTTGATAGAAGGTTGAGTAAACTTATAGTTTCTTTGATGTAAATTTTTTGAAAATAGATTTTATGAACAGTGATTTTCGAATAACGTAATGAAATGGATTTCAAAAAATAAGGGTCAAACATAGCTTAATAATTTTTATTTTGTAGATAATTCGAATTTTCAACACTTGAACCTCAAGATTTACACGCCAAGTCTATGTACATAAAATCCATCAAAATTGAGGCCCATAGACGCATAAGTTTATTTTACACGTCTCAAATAACGCCCTGCAAGCAAAATGGTGAGATTTATTAAATGCTCTTACTGTTCATCGCTAAACTAACAAAATTTAATGCAAAAAATATTTGCATACGTCGGCTATATACATATTCAGTGTCAATCTTTATGATATCCCAGAAAGATACAATTCAACCTTCCGCATACAATTAAAATTACACAAATCATAATTTTAAAAAGGAAAAAACTGTGGTATTATCCAAATGCTAACATTTAATGCAAACACAACACATAACAACCAACACCCAAACCTGGATTTTTCCTTGTTTAAAAGCTCTTCCTTGTTCAGCCCATCAATCACAAACACAAGAACAGGTAGAGATGGTGAACCTAGTAGCAGCACAGAAGCCATTATTACTTGGCTTGATGAAAATGGCTGGCATTAGACCTCACACCATAGAAATCGAACCAGGCACCGTGATGAACATTTGGATTCCCTGTGAAACCCTAAAAAAGACCATGAAAAAGTCCCAAAAATCCACCACCGAATACCAAGTCACAAAACCTAAACCTACCAAACCAGTTGTAGTACTCATTCACGGATTTGCAGCCGAAGGTATTGTCACTTGGCAATTCCAAGTAGGTTCCTTGGCAAAAAAGTACTCGGTTTACGTGCCGGACCTCTTGTTTTTCGGCGGCTCCACTACCAACAGCCCTGACCGGTCACCGACTTTCCAGGCAGAGTGTCTTGTAAAGGGTCTGAGGAAGCTGGGGGTTGAGAGGTGCACCGTTGTAGGGTTCAGCTACGGTGGCATGGTGGCGTTTAAGATGGCGGAGATGTACCCGGAATTTGTAGAGGCCGAGGTGATTTCCGGCTCTGTCCTGGCCATGACTGATTCTATAAGTAATGAGACACTCGAAAGCCTGGGATTTTCTTCATCTGCACAGCTCTTGTTGCCTAATACAGTGAAGGAATGTAAGGCACTTCTGAAAGTTGCTGCTCACAAGAAACTTTGGTTCCCTAATCGCCTTCATAAAGATTTTCTTGAGGTTGGCCATTCTCTAATCCGTATTCATTTCAATCTTATTTTTGGTTTATTGATTAAATTTTTGTATTTTGTCCGATGTAGTTATATAGCAAATAAATAAAAGTTGGTGAATCCCATAAACTATATGAGTAAAAAATTGTGTATAAAATAAAATATGTGATTAAAAATAAAACTTGACCAGCTTATTAAAAACGACCAAATCTAACAGACAAGCCCTTTATAAGTAGGGTTTCACTTATTGTTTTCTATTTGAAAAATATTTCTGAACTCACTGCGGTCAGTGGTGAATTGAGTTATTGCTGATCCACGTTTTGATGCGTCACGTCAGCCTTCTTCGTCTTAGGATTTTTGCATTTTGAGCTAAAATTAACAAAATGAATTTTGTTAGCTAATAATAGTAATATTGTATATATTATGTAGAATAAAATAAGGAATTAAAATATTCTTGTAGAATAATTTTCTGACGTCCATAAATTGCATAAAATGTAACTGCCAATTTATGGTAACTTTATTTATTTTTTTATATCTGAGCTTGGAACAATTATAAAAAAAAAAATACAAAATAAAAATATATTTTGAGTCTACGAGAAGATGATTGGGATGTATCATGCGTAAACTTTGAAATGTTCACGGAAGAAGTTCGAGTGAAACACTTGACAACAATAACCTATTAACCTTTTAATAGGTTATATATGTAGTGATGGACTGAACACTTGACAACAATAATTTGTAGAAATTTAATTTATTCCCATCACTAATTTAATTTCTCATTTATGTCAATTTTTAAACATCTTATTGCTCTGAAACCCAAGAATTATGCTTGAGATATGAACTTTAGAAGAAAGCACTGTTGAAATCTACAACACATTAAAAACATAGCAAGTACGTTAAATAAACCTAGAGGTGTCAATTCGGGTAGTCCGGGTCGGGTCGGCCCGCCAATATATGAACCCGGTAACGGCCCGCGTGAAAAAAAGCCCGCTTCCGGGTCGGCCCACAAATTTTGAACTATAACCCAGGCCCACCCGCTGACCCATCCGGGTCAATCCATGCGGGTCACGGGTCGCGCGAGTCATGATTTGTTCCGATTTGACCCCATATTATTGTATAAAAAAATTTATAAAAATATAGAATTTTTCATATTTATAGCAAAAAGTATTTTTTTTTTAAATGTAAACTAAGAATTGAACAAAATGATAAATTCATATTTATACCAAGAAATGTTTATATAGAATTCAAATTTAATGTTACATGAATTATTTATAACTTTCCAAAGTTAAATTTAATTTAAACAAATAACAACTAAATGTATTTCTAATTACTATTATCAAATATTTATAGTATAAGTACATCTCAACTAGGTTTTAGC